AAAATAAAAAAATAAAAAAATAAAAAAATAAAAAAATAAAAAAATAAAAAAATAAAAAAATAAAAAAATAAAAAAAAGAAGAGTAAACAGTTAGAGTTTTTAGTTAGTATCTATTACTACAAGCATGCATAAAAATCTATTGATTGGTCAATCCAATTTTTGGTTTACATGTGATATACTTAAGTGACAAGTAATGCAAATCAATTTTTTAAATACTATTTATATATATATGTAATGCAAAATATATGTGATATATAATTTTTATTAAAAATTTAAAAATGCTGCTAAATATTCAATATATTAGTAACATCTGCTAGTGGCTTTGAGTTGACATTTTGAGTATAATCAATAAATTCTATATATTTAAATTATATATATGTATATATTAAATAATTCAATATAATTTTTTTAAAAAAAATTATATATGTATATATATACTTACCTGCAATTTTTTTTTCTAGCTTTTTATCAATTTTGATATATTCTTTTATAGGTTCAATATTTTCATCAAGTTCAGTTTCTGGTTGAGTTTCAGAATTTATCCAATTATCAATATCTTTTTTATTTGTAATCTTTTATTATACAATTGTGATAATTCTTCAATTGAATTAAAAAGATACTCAAAACAATAGTGACAGTAATATCCCAAAATTTGAAAGCATCTATTGTGATAGCCATGACCACAAATTAGTACATGACCATTATTTCATAATAAATCAGTATATTTCTAGTAATTGCATAATTTAATATTTGTAGGGTGATAATTAGAATGATAACCAAGGAATAAAACTTTGGAAGAAAATCGTAATTGAATATCAGAAAAATAATAATAATCTTTCTTAAATTTTCCCTCTTGTTTTATTATTGTTTTACCTAAATTTTGCTATAAATAATTAAAAAAATCTAATAAAATATTGCAGACTGTTTTATCAAAACATTTAAATCTTTTTTGGTATAAGGATAATCTCGTTGTGGTTCAAATGAATTAATAAATGTAAGAAATAAAGCATCTTTTCTTAAAGATTTTTCAGTTATTACTTTCACACTAGTATGACGTTATAATAAACTATAAAAGTTCTCAACTGGATATTCATTAAAAGCATTTAAATATATTTTTAAAAAATTAATTATTGGATGTTTGATTGTCTTCCAATATTGAATATCTGATAAAAAAGCTAACATAACTTTGTCATAATTATGTCTTTTAAATCTTCACATTACAGTTTATAGCTGAAAAATCGTACTAACATATTCTTCAAAATGATTTTCCTAAAATAAACATGCATATATATCCAAGACCGCAGCAATTAAATTGTCTAACAAATCAAAAAAAGTAACATATACAATATTATTAGAAATGTTAAACCTTTCAATTATATATATTTTAATTAAAAGCCAGCCTTCATGTGCCAAATATAACAACAGATTAATGCACTAGAGTTTAGGCTTTGTAGAAAGCTTTTGTTTTTTTTCAAAAACTATTTTATATAAATAATCAAAAAACAGATAAAACATAATCATAATCAATTCTCGTGTATTGAGAGAGACATGAAGCAGACCCAGAAGCGGAATTAAATGTATAACTTCTTGTGGAATTAATAATTCCTTAAATTTTAATTTCATAGTTATCACCTTTTTTATAAACAATTGCCTGGGAAAATTCACAGAAAGAGGGATAACATAATATTCTTTTATTTTTGGTAAACTTTTAAATTTAATTTAAATAATATTTAAGTTAAATAAAATTTAAATAAAATTTAATATAAAACAAAATTTTATTATATTTATACCTTAAAAATGTTTTTACAGCATCAATGTAATTTTTTGTATTTTTTAATTCTAAACTAATACAGTCTATTAATTTTGTTTTATTAAATTTTTGATGATATTTTTTAGCAATATCAGCGTCATAAGAATAAATTGTTAAAAACTCAATTAAATCTATCTGATTTGATATATTAGATGCCCAACTCCAGTATAATTTTTCTGAATTATAACTATGAGCAATAGTAAATATATATTGTTTACAAAGAATGTCTTGCAAAAGAAATACATTAACATCACGGGGATTGTGAATAAGTAAGTTGTACAATAAATTATAAGGAATAGGTAATATTTCAATAGTATTAAATAAGATAGTAGCCATGTGAACGATCTGCTGAATAGAAGTTGTTGATAGAATATGAGTGCTGTGAAGATTATGAAAATGAGAACACCCACAGCAAAAGCAGTGAATAGAATTATATATTATATGTCACATTTTCCGCTTTTGCTATGAGTGTATTATATCTAGCGATTTAAATTATTAAAAAATATTTAACTTACATGTGTTTGAACATATTTCCACACACTAAGATAATGCTCAATGCTTATTTTATTAAGCTTGTTGAAGGCCGTTTGATATGTAGTACATATTTCCATATTGGCAGCCATGTTAATACAATGAGCTAAAGCTCCAGATCTAGCAAAAAATAACCTATTACAGCTTTAGATCCGCTCACTTGTTTGTTTCATAATCCAGCTATTTGATAACAAAACACCATAATTTTTTGTTTTAAATCTTTTTGCATTCTTAGATTTTTTTCTTTTGGATTTATCGCATTATATAAAATGTTAAAAAATCCTTAGAGCTTTGGATCTTTGTATTCAATTAGATTAACGAAATCTTCAGCATTCAGCTTTGGCTAATTTCCATGCCATTGGTTCTGATAAAGTATTTTTGTTATTCGTGCTACTTGATTATTAAAATATTTCAAAAATTGTTCAATCTCTATAATAATAAGGGCTCTGACATTTATTACATAATATTTTAGGTGGTAGAGAATTAAGCATATATTATATCAATATCTTACATTACACAAAGAAATTATATGATTTCTAAATTGGCCAATAATATAGATCTTACATGGGGGAGGGGTAGCTCTTATAGTAAATAGATACTACATAATAAATGTTAGTGCCCTAAACATAATCAGTAATAAGTATTAAAACAATTTATTATTAATTATTAATATTTAATAAACTTATGTAAAATACCAATTTTCTACTTATCTAATTTCTTTAATTTTTTCTGAATACTATCAATTTTATTTTCTATAAGCTATAAAATATATTTTTAAAAAACTTCTAATCCCAACAAATAATACAGATCTTTTTTTACCAAACTTTCAAATATCTGAAATTCCTAATTCACTCTTTCTTCTTAAACTTTGTTCGTTAAACTTTTTTTTTTCTTAAACTATGTTTATTAAATATTCAAATGCATTTCTCTCATTTTCAATAACAACTTCACTTTATTTTAAATTTATTAAAATTTAACAATCAAACTAACTTATTATATAACTAAACAACAAACAAATTAATTTTTCTTCTATTTTTATTCTTAAATATTTTTTCTTTCTAACTTCTACAAATTTTATATTCTAACTATTCTTTACTATACTTTTACTACTATCAATCTAGCCAAAACTTTCTGCTTGTTATAATATTTTTATTCTCTTTAATCTTAGCAAAATTTTTCTTTTGATTATGACCTTCAGAATCTTGTTCTAATTCTTGCTTACATATTCAATTATTAGTTTCATCTAATCTTTTCTTTACATCATCCTCTTCACTTTGTAAATTATATTATTCTCTCTTAGTTGTTTTAAAAATACAATTTTATTATAAACTAATATATATTAATTTAAATACATACTTTTTTACTCTTATAAATCCAATTCCATTAATCTTATATAGATAAAGCTTCTTGGATCTTTCAACTAAAAACTTGCTTGTACCTTCTGCAACTTCATTCTGTGACAAAAGAACTTTCTCCTCTTGCATTAACTTTACAACTTCATCTTTAAGTGAAGTTTTTATTTTCTTTGGTAGTAAACTTTGCTTAAAGCTTCTTTTTAAATACTATAAAAGTAACTACACTTACTTATTTCATTAAAAACTTCAACAAAACTCTCTACAAACTTTAAATCTAAAACCAATATATATTGTATAACTCAAAATTCTCTGACAAATCAACACAAAGCCAAATTAAGCAACTAATTAGCAAATCTTATCTCTTTTAAATTGTACAAAAATATTCTTCATAACTTTGCAATTATAGTACAGTGGTTATAGTGTATAGCACTGCAGGGCTGTGTATTCGATTACTATCAGTAGCATGCTAGACCCAGTACATCAAGGAAGCATTACCGACTATAACTGAATATTCAACTTTTACTTAACAATATTATTTATTTTTCTTTTTCTTTTTAATTTTATTACAATTATTTTTATATTAACTTTTTTTTTATTTATCAAACTTCTTTTAAAAATACTATACTTATTTATATTACAAAAAATTTATATTTTACATATCTTATAGGACCTCTATAAACTTTATACTTATCCAGAACTCATCTAGATTTGTATAAAATTTTCAAATCTAAATGAGACTTGGTCAGCCTAGTAGGTTTTGGTCACAGATAAATAATTATTCTGAGCTCTTATTCGTTATTTTTTTTTGATATAAAAGGTGAGGCCTTGCTCATATCTTTATTGAGTAATTTATATAAGTAATCATAAAGAAACAAGACTAAATGAAGAATAAAAGCTCAGACTAATTTATCTGCGACCTAAATCTAATAGAGTGATCAAGACTCACCTAGATTTAAATAGTTAATATATGATTAGTAGGAATACTGAACTGGATCTACAAAGTGGACCAGATATTAAATTTAAGTTCAGTAAGCCCAGCTGGTGGCAAGAGAAGAAATCAGAATGTAATTGATTAGGTAAGTTGCATAGACAATTATATATAAAAGTGTTATGAGTTCTAGCATAGAGACAAGTAGGAAATTGTTAACTAACTTGAATAGAAGTAGAATTTGATGATATTTGGTGTGCTTTTTTTCAAGTAGAAAAGTTAATACAGTATAATTTCCATATTTGTTTATAGATTTGATTAGAAATTTTGATAAGAATTTTGATAATAAGCTGAGAAGCTATTGAGTAAGATATGTCGAATAGTAATATGCATTGGATGAGCAGAGAAGGAATAAGACCTTTAAGAGTAGAATGAAGACAGTATGGGTAGAGAGTAGAAGGATGAAAGGAGAAAGAGGGGTGATATAAGATAGTATATATTAAGTAATCAAGTTTATTAAAAGCAAGTTCAAGATTGGTATTCAAAATAGTTTCTGAAATAGAGAAATTAATAATTTGAAATAGGAGATTATAGTGGGAACAGAAGTACTAGTGAAAAGGAGAGTTAGGAAGATTGCATTGAAAACAGTTAGAAGATGGGAATAAATTAGGTAATATTGAATGAAATGGAAGTGTATAGGTAGACTATTAAGTAACATTTTAATTTTAAAAGATTTAAAGTAACTAAGTTTAGGATTAGTAAATTATGTGAACGTTTGTGATTATTTTTAAAGTAGAGCCATGTAGAATTCTAGTTAATAAGGTTGGAAAAGTGTGACTATTTATCAGTATGCCTTTGGAAGGACCACATAGAAATAGTCTGAGCATTGCAGAAATTTTTAATGAAGGGCTATTAATCGAAAAAGTTTTCTATTGAAGAAAAAAAAAAGGGTTATATATATTAGAGTAATTAAACAATAGGGTTAGAGAAGATATATAATTGTTAGCAAGGTAATTAGCTAGATTGTTAAAAGTATTGTTACTGTGGGCTTGAACTTTATGAAAAGTTAATATTATATGCTTGAATTGAGTTAATAAGTGTGTACCAGATTGGTCAAAAATTGAATTTAAAGTATTTAGTTGTAGAGTGAGGAGTTTGGAAAAGCTTATTGTATTTGGAGATTATGAGTTGGGAGTCTATATAAATATTAACAAAAGAGTTGCATGGAAGAGTAGAAATAGCAGAGAGGATAGCAAGAAGCTCAGCTTTATATAATGAGAGCCAGTTAGAGATTTGAGCAGAGAAATTATAAATAACAGAGTTATTGTGAACTTGGGCCCATCCAATATGTATAGTATATTCCTCAGTATCAAGGTTTTTGACAGAACTATCTGTATAGAAAGTAAACTTTTAGTAAGGTTAATTAGCTAAAGCAATTTGGAGCAGATTATTGGAAGCAGTATTGTTATGAAAAAGAGATGAAGTAAGGGAGTCTACAATGTTAATGGAAGGTAAGGATGGAATCTCAAGTGGGTTTTTAAAAGTGGTAGAGTAGATGAGATCAATATAGTTGGTATTAAGTTTAAGTTGATTATTAGATTTTCTACCAAAGAACTGAGTAGAAAGAATTGAGGAAACTTCAAGTATGCAGTGATTAGAAATACAGAAGGAATTTAAACTACAGCCTTGGCAGGGCTTACAAGTAATAGGAGGAAGAGAATAACAAGTAGGAAGAGAAAAATTAATATTATGTTGCTAGTGAGTAATAGAAATAGAGTTGGATCGATGGAAAACTTTGCGAACTTAACCAATGATAATATCATTGTTATGACAGGCAAGCACCCAAGGCTTGTGAGATTTGTTAATTAAATTAGTTTGATATGCAAATAAATTAAGTCTAAAGAGTTGAAAGAAGAAAATAATAGTACAAAAAAGGAGTTTGACAGGATAGTATTTTCTAGATAGAGAAACCAGGTAGGCTTTTTTCTTTAGGAATATGAAGTAATCTAGAAAATAGGTGAAACCAATCAAGTAGTATGCTATTGTTAGCAGAGTATAATTGTTCAAGAAAAAAAATATTTTTGTGATGAAGTTGCTGTTTAAAAGTATGGTATTTGGGATGATAGGAAAGAATATTTTCAAGTAAAGAGCTACCACCAGATGTAGTTTTTGGCCAAGATATATTGGGGCTAGAATGAATAGATATATTAAGTGAGTTAAAGAGTTGTATGATTTTGAAAGTAGTAGTATATCTATTGGGACCATCTATTAAAGGATTAGAATGTTGGAGAATATTGGTAGTAAACCAAAGATTATTTTGAAGTTGTTGAAATCTGATATGTGTAGTTAAGCCAAGAGTTGATATATTGTTAATATGGTTGAGAAAGTTACTAATATAATGAAGCTGTATGTTCCAGAGACTATTAGGGATAGAACAGAAAAGGTGAAATTTATGTTTAGTGATAGTTAGGTATTTTCTCTGGATAAGATTACAGGTAGAGGAAGAAATGACAATATTTTGAATATGATATTCAGTAGTAGGAATAATAACAGTATTAATTATATAGGTGATTTGTTTGTCAATAATAATTTTAGTATTAGCAATGTTAGCTAACTGTAGAGCTTCATCTTGAATAAGTTGAATTTGTTGTATATGATTGTTACTGATAGTAAACCAACAGCCCAAGAATTTAAATAGTTGATAAATTGGAATAGATGAAAGATGAAAATTTAGAAAGAAAACAGAGGCAGATGGGTGTTTGGATATCAAAATAGATTTAGAAGGGTTAACTTGAATATTAGCCATGTT